AATACCATTCAAGAGAAATCGGCAAATTAGGCAAGTTGGCCATGGGATACCGTTCCAAGGGGCAAGCCTAATATGCGCCATAGGGCCTTTGAGGAGATTTTACTTGGTACATGTTTTTCCCACCAGAAGTAGCGAAGATCAACCCGACCCATAAATGACAAATTCACTTCGTGTGAGGCGCTGGAGTAGCAAATAATAACGATCGGAGCCCCAATAAATGGTGACAGACACGGCCGAATTGTTGCCATGTCAAAACACAGCCAATGTCATCTGTCTTCCAGGCCCCCTGTTGTCGTGGGAGGAGGACATCAAGCACATGCCTTTGACAATTTGGGCTTCTTCAAAGTATTGCCGTGCATGTTTTAGCTCGGATTTGCGATCGAGTTGTGCAGGCGACATGACAGATTGCAATTGTAATGGATTTATTAAATAGAAATGTCTCTTTGACAAAAACACAATTTCACAACAAACATTGTACTTCGTCGACCACAGTTACGCGCGCAAAATCGCAACATTTGGGCGCTCACATGCCAGAAAGTAAAATGAAAAGTTGATTAAAGCTCATCCTTGTTGCAGACTGTCGTCTGGCCAAATAAATGGGAAAAGAGTTTGAGTTAACAATTTGCCGTCCTAACAAGCTAACTCATTCACATCATCTCGGTTGTATCTGTCTCCTGCCGCCCTGTGCTCTGCATAGTTGTTGATGCACAAGCAGACATCCAGTCCTTTTGACATCACCTCTGCAGGCTTTGTTGTTATAAATCAACTGTTCAGACTTAAACTTAATTAAAAGACAGAAAAGCTCGATTCCCGCGCACACGACTCGGCAGCACGACTCATGAGAGGGTATCATGACAGCGCCTTCAGACCGAAGTGCAGCCCTCGCGGAGCAGTTTCCGACCCACCGGCCGGAGGCACAGATCCACCAGATGCGTCCAGAATGAGGACAGCCATTGCCGCCATGTTGTCCGTGTCCAGTTGTCTTGCCATGATGAAGACCAAAACATGAGTCCCGAATAGTGACTTGCTCCTCTCCTGTGAGCGGAGGACGAGACGATGCCTGGCCAACCATTCGTTTGGCAAATCTTCCCCTATCCCAGCAGTGGTACCGTATTTTCCGGCGTATAAGTCGACTGGGCGTATAAGACGACCCCCTGACTATTCCAGTTAAAATATAGATTTTGTAAGGAGGTAAGGGGCACAACATGAGCTCGAAACCATATTCTAATTAGCGATACCTAGACTACACTCGGCGTATAAGACGACCCCCCACTTAGGAACATAAATTTACGGTGTGAAAAGTCGTCTTATACGCCGGAAAATACGGTAGATTCAGGCATCATTGAAGAAGCTGAGCTTGGAAGCGGAACAGTATTATTGAAGTGGGTTGACCTCGTTGTCTCAACTTGGTCTTGTTGTCAGGACGACTATGTAGAACGCACCTAGTCCGAAGTCGTCTGCCATAGTAGTTGTCATGATTCCCAACATCAGACAGTGGACTTGGTACATTCTCAAACGTTTCACTGGCATCGGAGTCGGCATCATCAGTCAGTCTTCCCATTCTCCGCAACAAGCTAAGAACTCCTCAAAGTGACAAGTGAAGCCGATCCCTCGACAAACGTTCTGCCAAAAACGGTTACATTATCACTCCTCTTTCTGTCCTGGCCTATCTATCTACTCTTTACCCATGTTTTGACA